GAAGCGCCTGCATAGCCTGTCGTTTCAATAGATAGGCTTCATCAGGTTAATAGAATTTTGATTGATTGATTGATTGAAGATGGGCACTTCGCGCCAGACTCTCGAGGGTACCTCACGCATGCTACGAGGGAGAGCATACAGCTCCGGAATTTCAAAATGTCATGCCATCTACGGGGACGACTTGAACTGAGCACTATTGACCTATCGGCGTACTTGGAATGTAACGATGAAGGTCATCTCATATGGATTGCTGGGTATTACTACCTATATTTTGCTCAGTCCACTAGATGGCGTATCTAATTATTTTTCTGACTCTTTGAGCCGATCATAGAACCCACAGTCTGTTTGGTCGCAATGGGGTCATGGCTACCATTACCGAGTCATTGCCAATTCTCGGGTATATCACGGCGTTGGCTCACCAGCTTGCTGGCAATGCGGTACGTTGATAAACCCACATTTTGATAGTCCTTGGAATATATATTACTTGACGATTTTCTAAACCTGGAACCAACAGGAGCAAAGCCACCGGGCTGTGTCTAAAGCAACTGGCTCTACCGTTATCTTTACGGCATGCTTTCTGACTGGGCTAACTACAGGGAATCCATGGATAATCGGCTTGACTGCCGCCTCTATAACGCCATTCGCCATCCGAGTCGAAAGGTCCATCCAATTGGGCATCTCGGTTGACAACATCAGAACTGAGGAGGACGCAGAAAGGTTCGTTCGTGATTCAATCATCAATGCCGTGTCCGCATCTGCTGGTACCTATCTTGCGAAATATATCACTATACACAAGGAAGCCATAAAGCAGAAAGCGAGGGAAACTTTTACTAGTGTGCAGCAAAAGCTAGCACCGGCTTCTCAGACTTCCGGAAGTAATGCGCTAGGGTCAATGGCGATTGATTACGCTAGTGGAAATCTGGTGTCTCTGTACGTTTATGGTGTCTCGCCCTTCAGCAAATCTTACTTTAATTGACCTAGTTAATTATCTAGTGGTCTCAACGAGGCAGCATCATCTCTGGCATGGAATGACCGCTTCGACCGAACAAGAGATAATATCCATAAAACCTTGGTGCATTCTTCCCCTGCTGGACTGGGTGTTTAAAAGCTTCTCTTATCAACGTACCCAACTTTCCTAGTCCACTGTGGTAAGCGCATCGCAAGTGCAATGCTTTTACAGGTTCCCCCCCTAAGCACTCTGATTGGTCAGCTGAGACTGAATCAACATGCAATGGATTTAACTTCAACATGCAGTGCCAAAAGGAAGCAGAAGGCCTATAAAGCTTATATTTTATATTTAGTATAAAAGTTATTCGAAAATAGCAGGTTTTGATGGGGTGTGGGTAATCTACATACTAAATCCCACCTTTCGGATAGTTATACTTATTTGTCAACTCATAAATACGTGGATCATGCACTAGATATGGGGTTCTCCTTATGTGTCTTTAAACCGCACAGTTTCGGGGGAGAGCTCTGGCGAGCTCTTGCGTAGGCCCTGAATAAATTGCTTGTGCAGTCGGTATGAAACACTGCATTAGTCCGTTTCGCTGGCTGTCACTTCTAGTATTATTGGATAATAGATGTTTTACACAGGGTAGTATGTCGTGCTATGGTTTATTTATTTTCCGCGTGCGGCTTGATCACCTATATCAGTATTAGTTTCCCCAAGGTTGGGCCATCGAGTAGCTTCAGTCTTTCGAGAACGTTGTCGATGGTTCTGGAAGTCTCGGACTTACTCGTAGGATAAGTTTACAATTTTTCGGATTTCCCGACCGGATTTTAAGGACAGTAGATAAACTCTTGGGGATAATTTGGCACCCTCATAATATAGGTCTGTTCTTAAGATCGTAGATACTGGCCCTGGGAGATCAATTTAAGCAGTCATGAGCGACTATCCTATTACGAGCTTGATGCATTGCTCGAATCGGATTTTAGTTCGCTATTACTCTCAGAGTTCAATAGCTACATTCCATTGTTCGTCTAACAGAGATAGTGTTTCCTTGGGCGATGTATATCAAAAGGCAGGATTCTGAAGACAACGCACAGTTGATATTGAATGAAGCGCATGAGCTGCGAGAGATAGGAGTAAACCATAAATACACGAAGGAATCTCACTGTCAATAAAACCAATCAACGCAGACCCCACCTGGTATATTGGTAGTCTTCCCAAGGATAGGCTTTTCGATCCCATACTTCCCAGTCAACAATATAGCTATGACGGTAGATCAGTATAAGCGTGATACACAGCCAATCAGGGGATAATAGAGAATACTAACCATCTCATCTTTTGCTTATCCCAAATGAAATTTGAGATGTTCGCATCCACGTGGAAAAAGTTAAGGTTTTGGCATTCCCTGAGGTTGAGTGAGTATAAGCTATACATATCAAATAAAAGGGAATCTGATAGTGACTCACTCATAGGATAATTTGAATGCGTCTCGTATTTCTTTCTGCTCCTCCGGTCGTAGATCACTGAAATATTTTTCTGAGAGATTTACTCCAAGTTTCTCCATCACGATATAATCTAGAAAGCCACCCGGAACCAAGCCGTCAGAATTCTGATTTACATGCTTCGATGTGATATACTTCGGGGTACATGGACATTCAGCATCTGTTAGGGCTCTAAGTGCCTCGATTTCCTGCGAGGTATGATCGCAGATACCTGTTTCTGCTGGCTGGATAAAACTTTCGGACTCTCCCTCCAGACATAGGCTGTTGTCAACCAAAAATCGTATTCGGTATACACCAGCAATGCATTGGTCATTCCACAAATGTATAAGGGTCTAATCTCCTAAACTATCCGTACATCTAGCTGCTTAAATCTCTCGATCTGAGTCTTCTGACCACGCAATATTCATACTATTTCAGTCAGTTCCATATAACCGAAATAGTGATCGTCAGGATTGATGGCTGAATCGTCCGGATCTTTCCTATTTCCGGTAATCGGTCATTTTGGTTGACAAACTGTGTACTTTGTCTCTCTTATCCGTACGCATGTTTTTAGAGGGCCAAAACAACCGACATTAAGCGGTTGCAAAAGATAGATGAGTGGGCAGGCATGCAGACTGGTGTAGTATCATTATTGTCACAAATCTTATCGAATTAGGACGTCAAATGGCCTCCGTGACCATCCAAACAGAGTAATTGGTATCGACGAACTATACGCTGCGTATTTCCTGAAATGGAGATATCAGCAGACGGTGCAGGCCTATATCGTCGGTAGTCGAACCGCTTACACTCATCTCCATATGTAAATTGCCTGGGAGGCCTCGTTCTGCCTACTATCTTTCTACGAAGGTTGCCTTTGATAAAGTGACGGTGGGAACGGTAAAGCAATTCGCGTTGATACACTTGATTGTCGTAACCCAGTCACGATCTCCTACCTGTATAATATGGTATTTTTCAAGACCTAGTAACCACCTTGGTAGTTGCTATAAGGCCTATAGCGAAGCCGGTCTCGACAAAGTTACATACTGTGTAATATGTCGTCTGCGCGCCACACTGTGGTATAAATCATTAGCTAGTATTCCGTCCACAATTAGTGACATGTAATTAGTAGACCTCGCTAGACGCGGGTTTGGGTTGGGTTTTCAATTTCTTTCAGTATTGATGGTACAAAACCACTGTGGCGGGCTGCGTCGAGAGGTCATGAGGTGGTTGTTAACCAGCTGCTTGCTGTTCCCGATATTGATATTAATGTCGCCAGTATTGATGGTACAACACCGCTCTGCCAGGCAGCATGTGCAGGGCATGAAGCAGTTGTGGGCCAATTACTTCCTGTCCCTGGTATTGATGTTAATACAGTCAACAAGAATGGGGAAACACCACTCTGGCGGGCTGCATCGAGAGGAGTTGAGGTGGTTTTTAGCCGGTTGCTCGCTATACCTGGCATTAATGTTAATACAGCTGACACATATGGTACAACACCACTCTGGTGGTCTGCATCTAGAGGGAATGAGATGGTTGTTAGGCAACTGCTTGCAACACCTGGCGTCGACGTTAATGCAGGCAGTATTGATGGTACAACACCACTCTGGCGGGCAGCATCAAGAGGAGTTGAGGTGGTTCTTAGCCGGTTGCTCGCTATACCTGGCATTAACGTTAATACAACTGACACATATGGTACAACACCACTCTGGTGGTCTGCATCTAGAGGGAATGATGATTGTTAGTCAGCTGCTTGCAATGCCTGGCATTGATGCTAATGCCGTCAACAATAATGGTACAACACCACTCTGGCGCACAGCATCGAGAGGAGACGAGCTAGTTGTTAGCCAGTTGCTTGCTGTTCCTGATATTGATGTTAATGTAGCCGATAAAAATCATTTGACACCACTCTGGAGGGCTGTCTTGCGAGGACATAAGGGAGTCGTGGGCCAGCTACTTTCTGTTCCTGGCGTTGACGTTAATATAGCCAACCGTGATGGCCAGACACCGCTCTGGAGGACTGCATTTGGAAGGCATGACACGATTGTTAGCCAGTTAATTGCTGTACCTGGTATTGGTATGAATACGGCCAACAAGGATGGTACACTCAACGGCAGGCCACGTCGTTTGGGGTGAAGCCATTGGATTGCAGAACATGATGGTGATCGGTTATGTACTACCAGCACATAAAGAACGGAAATTGGATTTCATATTCTCACAAACAGGCACTCGAGGATTCTCGTCTTGACTCAAATCTTTCGTTTCGAAATGGGCAACCTAGCGAAAATTGACTTGCTCCAGGCTGAGGTCGACGAGAACGACCAAAGCTTTTTCCGTCTTCTGGTTGACGGTCGGACCGTCAAATACATTACCGTTGAACCTAGCATCTATAGCGCCGAGGATATTTGCTTCGGTCCTTCGCTCGTTTCTATCTTGCCCGAAATTCCCCCGGGGGCTGGAACGATGGTTTAGTTGCTAAAGACACCAACGATGTTCGGCCACATTTTGTATATTTCAGGCTGACTCAGTTCCCTGAGGTTCGAAATACTTGGCATCGAACCTATGTTGATTACCTGGAGCTTTCAATCGGACGAAAATTACGGACGGGGATTTACGAAGTCAAATGTCCATAATTTAATAATACTGTCATCGCTAAGTTCGCCCGCTTCTCTTGGGAGATCCAATACATCTAGAACGAAACTAAAGCATGTCAACGGATATCCGGCTATAATATCGAACCTCGATTCCTTGGTCACTTAACTGAAAACGGCCGGGTAATTGGGTTCTTGATGGAATACATACCCAATGCACGGCACGCTGGCGCTCAGGATGTTCAAGCCTGCAGGGAGGTATTATCTCGGCTACATGATTTAGGGGTTCGACATGGAGATACAAATCGGTCCAATTTTCTCATTCGCGATTCCAATGCCACGTTGATAGATTTTGACACGGCTCAGAATTGTAATGATCCAAACGTGATTTTACAGGAGTTGCAAAATTTAACCATGTGTCTGGAGGATATCTCGGCCAGAGGCGGGGGAGGCCTTCTCTGAAATGCACATGCCGGTACCATGGCGGTTATTGCTGAAGGAAAGTAGAATCCTATACTTGCATTAATCGAATCTTTAAGCGCTTGTACTATCTTCTTATCTTAAAAGAAGTTCTGAGCTCGTGTTCTTGTGGTCTTTTGCTTAAATAGGATTAGGCTATTTGTAGTAGATTTTACACCAGGCGAATAAGAGTAACCAAAACCAGCCTTTCCTTGTAGCTTGTGAAGTTTCGAAGTTCTTCGATGATCAAAAAGTCTCAGCGCGGTGTCGTGCGTAGTCTTCTTGCTCCAAAGGCTGGTGTGCAAAATACATCCGATATTATAGGGATTAGAACCCTCTCCTCAGACGTCAAACCATATCAGTTTATCCGTACGGGTTGTTTGCTATACATGTAGATATCAAAGCCTCAAAGTGATGCACATATGAATAGTTATCGCCAGCCGCCACATGTTCTTCACTTGTGCAGGTCCAGTCTAGCTAAACAACCAGAGGCGTAGCTAGTTCAAGCCAGGAGGCGGGGTAATAAACCAATGACTTTGGGTTCTCCCTGTCCTGGGGTAAGAAGTGGAGTAGTTAGCCAGGTCGCCGGGAGTCGCCGGGCGACGCAGGTGCCGTCTAAAGCGCACCCAGGAAACTCGCGCGACGGCGCCGGCGATCGCCAGGGTCGCCGGTTTAGAGGCACCCGCCCGCCTATTGACTGCACACAAGCCACACGCCGGCCGGTTAGTAGTTGGGTGAGTGACCACCAGCGAATCCCGGCTGTTGTATGTTTTTCTTTTCAGTTTTGCTGTTTTTGTTGTTTATTTACTTTTCGAATTCCTGGATTTATCATTATCAGGCCAACTTGTGAATGAGAATGCTTCCAACACCAGGGTCCCTACGATGTTAAAGACGAAATAAAATAGCAACAAAAATCAATCAGCGAGCATCAATGAGATTGGCAAACAATGATGGGATCCAACAAGGTAAATGAAGCGATCAGAGATCCGTGAGAGGATTCAGGTCCGAGAATTCAAAGAACTCAACAACACCGGATACACAGCCGATGGCTACAACATTGGGTGACAGACACAATGCTTTCAGGTTGTCCGGGCGGTGGTCAGGGGGCAGCCAGATGACCCTAGTTCCGTCATAAGTTATCCAGGAAAGGTCTTCGCTGAGGCCATATCCATGTGGCTTGGGTACATAGTTGGAGTCATTAGAGTCTGCCGAACCACGTTGCAAAGCCCTTATATCGAATTTGCCAAGCCCAGTGTGGAGGCAGTTTGTGCCGATGCTATCGAATCGAAGGAAGCCCTCGATTCTAATGCGAGAATTTAAGATGCACTGGCCAGTGCTTGGATCCGATATAACGATCATACTGGCTGATGTTGATACGAGTTGACTTCCATCGTGAGACCAGGAAACCGTATGAACCTGGTTGGTATAGTCTTCGCAAATTGAGAGCTGATGACCATTAATCGGATTCCACACTCGAACGGTATAATCAATTGATGCTGATGCAAGTTGACTTCCGTTGGGGGACCAGGCCACGTCTAAAACGGTTTCAGTATGGCCTTCGCAAATCGAGAGCTGATGACCAGTAGTCGGATCCCACACCCAGATTACCTCATCGAATGACGCTGATGCAAGTTTATTTCCATCCTGATTCCCGAAACACTTGCTAATCTTGCTGCCTTGGAAAACTGTGCACTGACTAGTAGCTGAATCCCACAACCGAAGTGTTTTATCATTTGATTCTGATAAGGCTTGAGTTCCATCGCGAGCCCACGTAGTTGAATGAACAATGTCACCATGGCCCCTGTTGGTTGACTGAGATTGGACTGTTGTGTCCCATATTTTGATAGTTGTATCATCTGACCCTGATGCGAGGCGACTTCCATCTGGAGATCAGGCTATAGAGCGAACATTGTCGCTATGCCTCTTAAGAATAGAAATACGCTGCATAGTATATGATACCCAGACCCTGACAGTATTATCATGGGACGCCGATGCAAATTGGGATCCATTGGATGACCAGGCCACCTGTTCAACCCAGCTGGTATGGACCTTGAGTGACACACAATCCAATCTAGGGTTTGAAGAAATTGGCTCCACATATTCTCCACCACTGGCTCTTTGAGAATCAAGTCTCCTTTGCTCTCTCTATCATGGTAACATCGTCTTGTGGTGCTTTCCATGGGACTAAATATGAGAGATGAATAGTAAACCTGGGGCGGACTCCTTTCAATGGCCACCTTTGTGTATTGGACGAATCGGATGGCATCCCTGATTTTGTGTGAAAGAGTATTTGGGTTACTGCTGGACAGCCTCTATGTCAATATTAGCATAGAACATGGGTATCCCTCAACTGAACTTGACCATTGCATACCTGAACCAACTTTTCGAGCTTTTGCATGGAAGCAATGGCAGTGGGGACGATCTTCAGAATGCTCATGGCCTCTAGCCAGTGAAGATAGCTCTCGCAAAGAAATAAATCCACCAGGTCCTCTGCTTGAATGGCCGTCTCCGTGCTCTCGATATTGCTGCATAAAAGGTGATCGACCCAGTTTACACATGCATAGCGCATTGCAAGAAGGGGATCCGGGTCTGGCGGCTTGACCTCTTCGATTTAAGAAATCGAGAGATATTCTCTTTACTGTTGGCTTTAGCCTTTTGGCAACCTGCCGTCTTGAGATGCTTTGACATAGTCGATGTGCCATATAGGGTCTTGCCGTTAGGTAAAGTGGCTGCAGGATACTCTAAAATCCGGGCGCAGCGTTTACGCATTACCTTTGGCGTCCTATCTTTATGAGAGGCGACCTGATCAAAATGTCTCCAGATATCTGCATTACGGTTTGTATCTCATTTAAGGTTATTTTTCTGTCTGAAGTCTGTTTGGAGTCACCAATCAACCTAATCGGTATAAACCATGTTGTCATAAAGTACAAAGGCCTTTTTCTGATCTGGACCAACACGAGTAAACGAGACAGGAATAGAAGGATTGCTTAGTCGGACAAAGTCAGACTCGCTATTTTGGATTGGATACGAGCCTAAGATACTATCTGTAGGTATAGCGAGATGATATGAAGGTATAAGATAGGATAAATGATCTGTCTCTTCCTCATAAAGAGAGGGTAAGAAGCCAGAGTGCTGGCTTTAGCTTTGAGACATATTGATACCAAAAATTATAAAGCAAGAGAAAGGGGGGTATAAGGAAAGGACACACCGTCGAGAAAACTGAATTGATATATCCCCCCAATTCTAGCTGGTTAAGGGGAAAGCAAAAGCAATATAGGGGGACCAAATATTATTGGCTATCTTAGTGGGTCTAACCAACCAAAACCCATCGAAAACTCATTGAAAACCTATGCTCAACCCATTTCCCCTTACTCGTCCAAAAATATTCAGGAAAACCTCCAGAATTGCCTTTGCCCTCATTTCAAAGACAAAGAGACAAAGAACAGTAGTATTAAAGTACAACTACATTATATCAATGACAATATTAGACATTATTACCTATTGGCTTACATTTAGAAGGTTTTCTCTCTGAATTGTTGTAGTTCTTTGCCAGAAGAAAAATCCTTTGAGCTTTCACAAAGATTTGTTCTGTTTCAATGTATACTACCTTTGCAGAAATATATATCTTCATCCATCAAAACGATTACAACTTTACAAATTACAGACTTAATACCACCACCATTTAAAATTAAAGTTTTGATCTGAAATCAATAGAGAATCAGGTTTGAAGATTCTTCTGCTAGCAAGAAAAAATAGATTTCTGGTAGAGATTATAGCTATAAGACTATTAGATGCTAACCAAGAGAAAACATGTCAAAATTACAATCTGAAATTTTGCTAAGTAAGCTGAATTATGTATGCCAAGTCTCAGATTTGTGCAGAATATGGGTTTTTTTTTGGACCCATGGGTACCCATCAGGATGGTTCGACCATTTTAAAAAAACCCATAACTCATATGGGTTTGGCGATGGGTTGTGCCGAAGTCTAATATCGAGTAATGCCTAAGCGAAAATTTACCTGTTATTCCATTGGAACAATATTCTTCCGGGGTTTTGTTTGTTTGTGTAGTTTGACATGCTTGCATTGACCAGCGGGTTTCTTGGTATTTGCAGCGTCCATGCTGTATACAACCTATACAGGCCAAATAAGATGGGAAACTACCATTTTTGACTGCGTCTACCAAACCATTCAGGTCTAATAAGCCGATCAGATCTTATCAACGGCAACTCATTCTGCGCGACCTCGAAGTGGAAACTGGAACCCGTACAATCAAATATCTGGTCGCCTAACTATCGGCAATATTTCCATATACTGCAGCTGGTTTGCATTCGGCTATATGTACGGACGAGTTATGTGATTTGGGTGCTCTGTTAACTGTGTGCCGTCCACTTCCGGTTCTTCAGCTGCGATTATGGATCCTCCGATTGACTAGCCGATCTGGCTAATGAATTATGGGTCGAAACTACAAAAAAGCATCTAATTGGCCCGCTGATCAATATCGTATACCATAGTTAGGCAGATCTCGCATGGATCAACAGAACTATGGAGAATTATGGAGACGAGAGCAGGCCCTATTGTTTACAATCTCTGGCGTGCCTTTTTACAAATTCCCGAGCTGCCAAGACCGCATGCAGGCCAGGGGTTATTGGCCTGCCCCTGGCCTACAATTTTGTGAGATTTCCCTCTGCAAAACTTCCCCCTCCAGAGTCCCGTCAAAATGGGGAACGCGCCTAGTTCACCAGCTCACGCATGTCTGCTCAGCGCTGTCGGGAACGACTCGTCTCTCCTGGCCTTCCCAAGTCAGCCGCTTTACGAGTCGCTCGCTGCGAACCCCTACAATCTGAACTGGCCCGTATATCCGGCCGTTGTCGCAACCCCGAAAACGTCAGAACAGGTTGCGGACATCGTGCAATGCGCCGTCGAATATGACCACAAGGTCCAGGCAAAGAGTGGAGGTCGTAGCTATGCGAACTTCGGTATGCGCGCTTGCTATGTCCGGCCGATTTTTTATCCCAGGCTAACTTATCTGCGCATTATTTAGGTCTCGGCGGAGTGAACGGTGAAGTCGCGATCGATATGAAGCACTTCCGACAGTTCTCGCTCGACGACTCCACTTACGTGGCCACCGTCGGACCGGGCCTGCGACTCAGCGACATGACGCGGAAGCTCAACGATGCCGGCGGAAGAGCAATGCCGTATGGCGCGGTCCCCGAGATAGGTGTCGGCGGGCATTTCACTATCGGCGGGCTCGGCACATACTCGCGCCTATGGGGTTCCGCACTGGATAATGTCGAGGAAGTGGAGGTCGTGCTGGCAAACTCGAGCATCGTCCGCGCCTCCAGGGAGTCTCACCCAGACGTGTTCTTTGCCATTCGAGGCGCGGCCGCCAGCTTTGGCATTGTGACTGAGTTCAAAGTGCGTACTTATCCGTCGCTCCGCCAGACGGTCCAGTATAAGTACGAGTTCAGCATTGGCAGCTCCGCCGAGCGGGCAAACCTGTACATGGCCTGGCAGGAGCTATGCGCGCAGAAGAACCTGACGCGCAGGTTCGACACGCGCATGGTCGTTACGCAAGGCTTGATGATAATCCTGGGCCAGTTCCACGGGACGAAGGAGGAGTATGAGGAACTGGGGTTCGAAAAGCGCCTTCCTGCTTCCAACGCCGGTAATGTGATCGTGGTCACCGACCCGCTGGCCATGCTTGGACACGATATAGAAAAACTAGCCACCGGCATCGTCGGAGGGGTGCCGTTGCACTTTTACGAGAAGTCACTGTCCTTCGAGACGGATAATCTTCCGTCGAACGAGACGGTGCACGAACTCTTCTATTATCTGGACACGGCTGATAAAGGGACCCTAACGTGGTTTTCAGTAATCAGCATCGCGGGCGGCGCAACCAACGACGTCCCTGTCCATGCCTCCGCGTACGCCCAGCGCAATGTCCTGTTTTATGTGGAGTCCTTTGGCATTAACCTCCTGGGTCGCGTGTCCAAGACAACGGTTGACTTCCTAGACGGAATTAATAAACTTGTCACGAAGACGCTCCCGGGAGCGGACAGAAACGTCTACCCTGGATTCGTCGATCCATTCCTGCCTAATGCCCAGGAGGCGTACTGGGGCCCTAACTTGCCACGGCTGCAGGAAATCAAGGCTGCTGTCGATCCGAACGACGTGTTCCACAACCCGCAGAGTGTGCGCCCAGCGGGCAAAGAAACATAGTTCGCACGCAGGTTGATAGTCTGCCGTAAGCGACGATTGTGGACATGAAATGGTCCTTTCAAAAAAGGAATGGAAAAATACAATCTATCCGGATAGACGGCTAGGGAGCAAAAGTGTCTTATCAGATACAGAAGCTGCTCGCGCAGTGTATAGATAGATAATGAATAATGTAATAAGCGCCAGAGCCTCGGGACTTTGCTGGCCGGATCAATCGTGCAGAATCGCTCGATTTCTATGAAATGAGACCCTCATTGTAACTACCAGCATGATGTTATCCGAGAGATGGCATATCAGCCCCTGCGAAGCCGGCACTGCTAATGTAGTTAGATGAGCATATCTAACACCTTCATGCTCGACTCAGGGACCACCCTACAGTACCGTAGTTTGCTGTCGGGTTTTGTGAGGAGTGAGGAACAGTATAGCTACACAAATCTAAAACGATGGTCAATTCTTCCTGGCGGGGGCTCTGCCCCACCAAAGTGACCCTAGGGTATGGAATTCGAAGACACTTCCGAGGTCCATTGTCTTCCAGATTGCAATTATGGGGCCATGGTCAGCCTGCCAAAAGCGTAGAAGTAGCAGTCATATCATTGTACTACACTTCCCGAGGCCAGAGAATTTTCCTCTGTCGCATTATCCATGGAAACCGCAGCCTTGGGAGCATCTTTTCCGGTGTCAGGGGAACAAAATGGGCGTGGGCGTGAAGTAGGGGAAATATTTATCATATAGAGAGATACGGTTAAATTTACGGCGACTCAATCGCGATTTCGGTCGGTGTCTTGTAATAAACCACGCATCTGATTGAATAGTGCTCGATTCTAATAACTTATAGAATTACAACACTTTATATACATGGCTTGGTTAACATGCCAAGTATGAGGTTTCTTGAAGCAGCAATCATAGTATAGACTACCCTCTCCTAGTGTGCTCGGCCCGACAGCATCCTGCTAATCTCGCTCAATACCCCCGGAGCCAATAAATCGAGAAGAAGCCACTTTCTTCGGAATTCAACTGGACAGTTTTAGGCTGCTGCCTGGTTTTCCAAACTAGTGTCTTGTTACTGCATGATAGCGGGGCAGCTGGACAGCTGGACAGCGGGGGTTCTTGACGTGTTGCCCCTCCATGGGCAGCCAGGGGTTTTAAACCCCGTTGACCTCCTGGAATTGTTTTCCAAGTAAGCCCCAACCCTCCTTGTCTTTCATCTCTCTATTCCAGGTCTACGTTGTTTAAAAGCAGAATCACCATGTCTCTTCTTCATGAAAATTGCGACCTGATTCGGATCGAAGTCCGTGACGATCACACTGTCCTCCTTGCCTCAGCCAACAACGGTGAAGAGTCCGTTCCTGTGGAATTAGTCCTGGATGAAGAGATTGGTAACGGAGATGGTAAGTGCTCTCTGACGTATCCCGGCTACCTAGTTATGAGAATGCTTTCTAACCTACAGTCGGTCGGATTTAGGTTGGTTCGTTCGCGGCGACAGCAATTTCACAGAGACCGCTGAAGACATCGAGTTGGATATCCGGGACGACGGACCATGGTTGACTGCACGGCTCTCCGCAGCCGATGGAGAAGAAAGAGAAACGCAGGGAATTAACCTGGCTCTCCATATCGAGAACCAGAATGGCGAGCTTGTATGGGTTGTAAGTTAGCTATCAAGTCTTTTGGATTTTGATATGGTTATACTAACCGATCCTTCCAATTGTAGGAGCCAAAGGAATAAGCATATAGGTCATCAATGTACTGAGGAACAGATAGCAGCTCGTCTATTCTATATTGATATTATATATTACTGGATTGTCTTGTCGAGTTTTTCTGTCAAGCTCCAGCTGTAGATCTTCTTAAAGACAAGAGCAGGCCTTTTAATAACGGAACTAGCTGCATTCTTCTTCAAACAAACGAAGCTTTGGATTCCCATAAGATAATTATTTATGAAGTCCATGCACCTGTGCCGATTCTAGTTTATATATTGATTGGTACGAGCTGGGCTGGAAAGCCATAATTAGTGTTTACCTTGCTAGTGGAGTGTTCTTAACGCATTATTTAGGTTAAGAGAAGTGTGGAACTGAGCAGAAATCATCATTTAAAATATTTATTAGACATCTAGCAATGTAGGAAACTCGGTGTCCTGATATGAGAGGGCTCGCCTAGCTTAAGGACGGAATGATCACTTGCTATGTATCTAATTTTACAACCTATAAAGAATGTTATAGAGACCCTTGAATTCTCCCGCCAAGCCCCAATCCTGTATGGCATATACATACCATATAACTATCCAGTATACTAGCTGGCTGTAGAACTGTGACTATACATCGCCAGGAAAGGCTTCGAAGAACGTTTCACAAATCACAGATCCGCATCCTCCCCATCTGGTAACGGCATCATAGCCGCCCCAGGAGGCAATTCACAATAATGGCAGCCCAGATCTTCTAGAGTTTCGTAACTCACCTGCACTGGCTGGCGGCTTTGATGGCCAAGGAATGGCCAAGAACTATAAGCAAAATCAACCCCCGCCGCTGCGAAGGTTGTGCTCAGGATAGAACCATCGTCGGATGTGTCTCCCCCACCACATCGGACCTCTCTCAGGTTCGGAAACTTCCCTTGCGACGCTACCTTGGCGAGGCAAAGGAGGTCCTCCTGAGTGCGTGAACGGTCGACAGGACCTCCACCCGAAGCCAGATACAGTGATACAATGCTTGGGGGGAGGGATCGTACGATTCCCTCGCTGTTGGCGAATGATTGGTCCCATGGGGAATCGTATAAAGCGGTGAAATTGAGAAATAGATGTCGCAGTGCGTGAAAATCTTGGAAGCTAAAAGGTAGGGGGGGTTCTCTCTTATCATCACCCGAAAATTCATTTCGGAGCCGAAGGTCAATGTGTACTGATTCCAAGGTTGCTCGGTGGCGGTGAAGAAACTGGGCAGTGTGGAATGCCCTAAAGTGAACTTGGGAGTAGTCGGGTTTTTGGTTTCTTTCCCTTGATAAACGTGATAAAGGAACGTTGCTAGCCTCGTACACAAAGCTCCGTAGGTTATCGCAACAGGAAATGAGGGCGTCTAAATCCATTGCTGTCATGCCGCCACGCGTGATATAAAGGGTTTTGAGCTTTGCCAGTGAAGGGATCTTCGTATCCTGGGACCAGATGCCACCAAAGCTGTGCAAGGTAAGTGTCTCAAGGTATGGGCATGTATCAAGTAAAGCACACAAATGCTGGTCAAGACAAAAGAAGGGACTGCGCTTTGTGCTAAACGCAGAGCGAGTAATGCTGAGCGTCCCAAGGGCCAGGCGTGGGATTCCCGTCGCGCAGCGAAGCCCCAGGGAGCAGTGAAGAAGGATCTCTTGGGCTGATGAGCTGCCAGTTTCAAGGCTGCAATGGTTTAAATTTGGCAACTGTGCAACCAAAGCAGTAACAAGATCACGGACTGAGAGTTGCTGCAGTCCCTCCTCAGTCTTCAGGGCATTTGCGACCGCCTGTAGCGCCGCGCCACGGGCCCCTCTCTCTTCTATGTGCTCGCTGAAATCGTCACGTCCTTCTGGGCTTTCCACGCCTATTAAATCATTCCCCTCAAAGGGCCGAAGCAAGTATGGGTGAATATATAGTTGTTTCACAAGTGCGGCCAGATCTTGTCGCTCTGCTATTGTCCTCATGAAAGAAGTGAGCCGGCCCTCCCAGGTATAGAGAGTTGAACGCCACGAACCGCCATATCCTGGCATGAATTCTCGGTAAAGGATAGGCTCAACAACATGGCGCATGTGCTTAGAGACGAGGCATAGTGTGGACAAAGTTTGACACTCCAAAGAGTACCAAGATGGCTGATCCGGCATTTGTTGCTCGTCATCCTGAACATATGCCAGTGGCGCTTCTGGCTGAGAAATCCCGTGGCAACGGACACCCAAATAGCCCAAGACCATATACAGCAGCTCTGTTGGAAGGTGCTGAATCCTGCGGGCGCCCATCCTTACGTTAAAAATGGATTCAGGACCAAAGTTGTTGACAAGGTGGTTCAGCGTCTGACGTCGTGTACGAGATTCTTGACCGGCCTCACTCAGTCAGCCGTGGTGAGATAACTAGTCGTGGCTACTGCTTAGTAGGCAGCGCTTATCCGATGTTGTTAGTTGATCAGCTGACCTACTATGCGCGCAGTACAGGAGGCTTAGTACAGGTTGCGACTCTTCTACTGTTGGAGCCTGCTACGGCTTGCGGCGCTAGGCTGCACGTAGTTAGTCAGTCAGCTGACCCACACTGGGCTGCTGCATCTCTAGTTATGTGGCCGCGGTAGATGACTAATCCGCTTATATCATCGCCTTGCTTGACCAGATCGATCATGCAACCGCATTGATTTATGACGATAAATCGTGCAATTCCGCTCATTTGTGGCAACCATGAAGCCCCTGAAATTGCATAAATATCGGCTTCTTTGTCGTGTAGTTAGAAAGAATCAAGACCTTCATTCATTTGAATATGATCATATAACTCAGTTGAATAATCACTTCTTCGGTAGACCCACATTTCTGCCACACTCTACAACCTCTGCAGTTGTAGTATTAGAAGGAATCAAGCGTTTCCATCCGATTTTCGAGCCTTATCAGAGCTATCGCTCATCATCTACTGGTTGAAGAATACATAAACCACCGAGGTAAATACTTAGGGATAGGTAGGTGATTTGTTATACAATGAGAGGATTCCGTCCAAACATTTCATAGTTGCGGAGTTGTCGTAATGATTCGCCATAGCAGTAATGGGACAGCATAACTGGGATTAGAGACCAACATCCATGGATATCAGCACCACTGACAATCAAATATTCTATATATTCCATAACTATGTTGAAATAGACACATACGACCACAGGGTGTGGAGAACAGGGCTTCCCGTCCGCTCAGCCGTACTTAAGCCACACGCCGGCAGGTTAGTAGTTGGGTGGGTGACCACCAGCGAATCCCTGCTGTTGTATGTCCGTGTTCACCCATTTTTTTGGATTTTTTTGGACTCGTGGGGTTTAGCGCCCGTGCCGCCCTGTCTTCAGTCCCTTCACCTGAACGCCCTGAAGCCCTCTAAAATTCACTCGCCAAGTCTGGCCTGCTGACGTGGCCTTTCTCGCAACTTTCGTCCGAGCTCTCCCGGCTTCCGTGTTGCTTACTGTCTCGTCACGTACAGCCGTTACACATTACATTTAGTGGCTTTGCTTTCTTTTTCAGTCAGCCCTGCTCTTAATTACACCCAGTTAGAGCATACTGCCTATGGGCACCGCCTGCCCCTGGGGTCGACCTCGCTTAGTCATCATATCCCTTTTAGCTGAGCCTTCGGGCACCCCTGAATGGTTAAGCATCTTGGTTCCCATAGTACAGGAAAGTCACGCATCACTGCAAGAAATATCATAAGGTAGCTAAGCTTCTTGCGCTCGTCTATCCCCCTACGGACTATCCTGAATCTTTTATTGTTTGATTGAATTTTGACAGTATCTGGGGATTGCTCAATATCGGTAAAACAGTGGTAGAAGGACTGTTGTATAGTTGTGCTCTGTGTCTTTTGCTTAGGTAGTAATAATGGGCGGAGTGATTTAATGTATGCGTCAAGATATACTGTACCTTCAGAGCCCGGGGCCGTCACCTGGCGAAGAGCCGGGGTCGGCGAGTCCACTATCGACCCCACGGCAGTGTCCACACACCTAGAGGACCTAGTGATCCGTACCCGGGTGCGGGAGGATCTCTGCCACGACTCGGATCACTACCCCGTTGAGACCCTGGTCGCCGTCTCACCCCCCAGACGGAAACCATTCACCGCCGAAACTTCAAGGCCACTGACTGGCAGAAGTTCGATGCCTTCATGGCAAATAACACCCCTAGGCTGCTCAACCAGTCCTCGAGCGCGAGGTTCGCTATAGACCTACTCGCCGAGGACATTACTACCACACTGCAGAGCGCCATCGCCCACTCCACACCATGGCTCACGATCACCCAATACTCCAAGCCGGGGTTCAGCAGGGAATGCAGCGACGCCGTCCTGGCGACGAGGCAAGCCCGGAGGGCCGCCCAGGAGGCCGACCCCCACTACCAAGCAGAAATCGAAGAGGCCTACAAACGGTCCAGGAACTACAAGACGCACCTGTGCAAAAAGACAACCACCAACGCCCACCGAGAGAGGGTTGGAGAGGCCACTAAAAGCCCCATCGGCCTCTGGAAGCTCACAAACTGGTGCCGGAGTAGAGAGGCGGCATAGGCCCTAGGGGTGGACCCCGTCTACAATCTGACACCGGCCTCGTCGACGACCCTAGACTTCCGCAAAGCCCACAAAGCCCACAAAGCCCACAAAGCCCACAAAGCCCACAAAGCCCACAAAGCCCACAAAGCCCACAAAGCTCACAAAGCCCACAAAGCCCAAAGCCCACGGGCGGGGGGGCCATTATCACCCCAGGAAATCCGACGAGCAGTCCTCGCCGCGCCCCCGAACAAGGCCCCCGGCGACGATGCGATACCCAACGAGGTTCTACACAGGGTCCCACCACATATTACCGCCCCCCTCACCTCCCTCTTCAACGCCTGCCTCCGGGTAGGCTACCACCCCCGCTGCTTCAAGGACTCGGTCACTGTCGCCCTCAAGAAAGGGGGGCCGAGGGACTACTCCAAGCCCAAGTCATACAGGCCTATCGCTCTGCTCAACACGCCGGGAAAGATCATCGAATCCATCATCGCCACTAGGCTCAGCTACCACGCCGAGGAGGAAGGCCTACTCCCCGACCAGCACTTCGGGGGAAGGGGAGTAGCCTCCATCGACCACGCCATCCAGGCCCTCATTGAGAGGGTCTGGGGGGAAGAGGCAGCTTGTCGTTACCCTTCTCCTCCTAGACGTCTCCGGGGCGTTCGACAATATTAACCACGCCAGACTGCTACACAACTTCAGGAATACGCGCCTGAGGCCTACGCCCACTGGGTGGCCAGTTTCCTAGGGGACCGGCGAACAAGAATCCGCCTCCCCGAGCTCACCACAGCGCTATTTGGGATCACGGTGGGCATCCCCCAGGGATCCCCTATATCCCCCATCCTTTACTTGCTCTACAACGCGCCGATGCTAGTTTTACTCGCCACTATAGACCCCAGCAGAAGAAATTGAGCCTTCAACCAGTGATGGTGTTGGTGTACGTGGTTGAAAGGTAAGCTTAGAAAGAACACGCTCTTGATCAAATGGCTTAAGCCCTGCCCCTGCAAAACCACTGCAGATATTCGCTGTAGTAAATACTTTGATGCGTGCATCTGGATATAGAGACAGAAAGTCTTCTTTATTAATGTGATTATTGCCGGCAATCATTCGGTCTTCAAGCAGCTTTCCGTACGCGCGTTTAAGCGGGCCAAAAACACTAACATCAAGTCGTTGCAGTAGATGAGAAGCATGTGCAGGCATACAGAGACAGATAATTGCATTCTGCTTGCAGAAATCATCAAATTCAGCAGTCAGATGGCTATTATGGCCATCAAGAATAAGCAACCGCTTAGCACCAGTCATAGAGCGCCTAGAGGACGGTTCAAACACCTCTTTTAACTAACGAAGGCCTATTTCATCTGTTATCCAGCCATTCTGACTAGTCGCAATCCACCAGTCTTTATTAAGCTTAGGTTCTTGGAATCAGGCAGCCTGTTGATTGCCTGCTTTAAGTATAATGACTGGTGGTATGTGCAAGCCTTTGGAACTAACAGTTTCAATGATTGTAACCCATTCACGGTTCCCCTAAATGACTCTACGTGGTCTCTCACTGCGCTCTACTGCAGGAATAATGTGGCCGCGCGAGATGACTAAACCGCTTATATCATCGCCTTAACTAACTAGTTAACTTACTTGACCGGACCGATTATTCAAATCATCAACATTAATCGTATGATTTATGACGATATAGATCTGCAAATTCCGCTCATTTTATGACGATCCTGAAGCCCCTGAGATTGCATAGATATCGGCTTCTTTATCGTGTAGTTAGAAAGAATTAAGACTTTCATTCATTTCGAGCATGATCGTATAACTAACTAAACCGGATGAATCAGCGCTTCTCAGTAGACCCGCAGAACCTGCCACAAATAACTTTAGTAGTTGAGTAGAGACCCATTGCAAAGCCAGTTTCATCAAAATTCCAAATATCATCTTCATGTATGCCGTGTTCTTGGATAGCTTCGTGGACACTTTGAAACTATGGTATTATAACCCGTGGATCCTCCTGCTTTGCACGTTGATATGTCATACGTCGGCTATATCGTGTAGATAGTTGAGGATGGCATTTGGTAAACTTATTCATCGCCGGAATTACTTATTGCCGGTAAAAAATCTTACCTAACATCGGCTATCGGCGGTTCTCCCGTTTGCTTTGGCGTTTGCTTCTGGCTGGGAGATGAGGACCCAACCAGTCATACCACGACCTCTCCACCATTCTTTCCACCACTCTTTCCACCACTCTTTCCACCACTCTTTCCACCACTCTTTCCACCACTCTTTCCACCACTCTTTCCACCACTCTTCCCACTACATGGACGTTCGACATGATCGAGACCATGGCAGTGCATGCTATAGTGCATTTGATGTAGGTTAGCAAGACAAGACAGAGGCATGAACGACCAGGGTAACAAACATATAAGGAGCTATTCCTCAGGTCTTAGTTGACTTTTCCATTCGTCATTGGAATTACAATCTTTGGTCTACCTCAATATCAGCATCTCATACTGTACTGATATTTCTCAGTCATTCAACCACACATCATGGCATTGGTACAGAACACTGCAAAGGAGTCTTCCTCTCTCTGTGCCCAAGGCTTGACGCCACCGAATAGCCCAATCAAGGGGCCAACTACATCTCAAACGATCGTGAGGGATCTGCAATATCAGTTTGGTGTTTTTCTCGAGAAGGCGCTGCTCGATATTACCATCTATGCGCCTCCGAACACCCCAGTCTCTCAGGATCAGGTCCCAGCGGGACCAGACATGGTTCAATTGAAGCAGTTGTTGGCAAAGCTTACCTTCGATGAGTACCCTCCAATCGAACTGAGTTCAGATGAGCTTGCTGTGGAAGAGAGGCTTCAGGTGGCAGATGGTATTGATCTTAATAGTCCAATCTGTACCACTCCAGGTGACTTCAAATCTTTTAAGAATTGGGCATCTAAAGTGGAATTCACAAACGTCACAGAAACGCATGAGTTATACACTAGCCCCTCCCATCTTCGAGTGCTGACACAGGTTTAGTTGGGACAAAGACGCGTATAGATACAAGATAGACCAGCCGACGGAATCTAGCGACAGCCTTGATGAATACGCTGAGTATGTATTGTGCGTTTGCCAGGCTTTGCCCTCTGTTGTTCGCTATCTAACTTTGCTAGTGGTCCACCCGGTGTCGGAAAGACGTTTACCGTCGAGGCTACTTCGGAACGTTTTAATCTTCCTCTCTATTCAGTAAGCAATATCAGTCGTTTTGTCGAGAGCTTGCTGATTTGCCCCAGATATCTGCCGGTGAGCTTGCTGCCGACGGAGGTAATCCAAACGCGCTTGAACAGCAGCTAGAGCATATTTTCAAGGTTGCAAAGCACTTTAACGCTGTACTGCTTTTGGATGAAGCAGATGCATTCATGGAGCAGCGGACCTCTTATCATGGAACTCACAACCGCCTCGTGACCGTCCTTCTTCGTAAATTGGAATACTACCAGGGTATCCTTTTCCTGACAACAAATCGGAAAATACAATTTGACGAGGCGATAATGAACTGCATCCATCTGACCATAAAGTATGATGACCTGACAAGAGAGTTTCGCAGGGAAGTCTGGAAAAGTCACTTGTCCAGAGCAACAACTGTTCAGGGTCATACTAGCGTCGGATCTGATGAACTGCAGGTCTTGGTTGAGTTTCGTTTAAATGGACGCGAGGTTAATCTTCCAAACAACCTCATTACCATTACCTTCTGACAATTAATAGATCAAGAACCTTATTGCCATTGCGCACGCCCTTGCCACTGTGGATGGAGAGAGAGTGGGATATAAGCATCTAGAACTGGCTGCGGGATCGAGTGAGAGCCTCCAAGAGAAATTTGTCCAAGAGAATCGGATTTAGGGAATGTATATCTAAAACCACCTATTATCAGCCTTTGAGTCTCTGGCCACAATTCAATATGAGAAAGAATGTTTGTCCGAGGAAACAGGTTGGTATATCGTAATAACAGTACACCCCCTCCAATATCAAGCCACTCAGCATCCTCACCCCTCTTCGGCGCAGTTTTGAATCCGTCTCATTGTAGGAGGCTAGGTAGCTTTTCCTGCGAATACAATAATTGCCCTCTTAAAACGTTTATAGCACAAAATAGTATATTTTTTGGCTCCCATCGGACGTGAATACAGTATGGGTAAGTGTGGTCATTATGGAGAATATACTGAACAAGTTGGCGGTAGATTATCTAGTATACGAAGTGGATCCTCATTACGCACAGTCTTTTAAGATAATAGGGAACGCAGTTTACGGTTCTTCTCCGCCAGAAAAAGTCAGACCCCAAAGAGAGTTCCCGGGCGGTAGCGTTACCTCCTCAGCCAGGCGATAGCAGTGTCCTTAGCCATAGTGTTCCTGCTAATAATATCCCACAGGGAAAAAAGACCCTATCGCCATCTAGATACATAAATATTACCTTTTGGAGCTAGTTATAAGCGGGAGGATTAGTTATCGGACTATCTCTAAGTGGATTAATCGGATCTGTCGCCAGTAGAATGCGTTGCGGCGAAGTATACGAGAAAGGGTTATTCGTTATACGACAAGAATATGCAGAGTCTTAGTCCATCACAGTGTTATCGCACGGCTACTATTGACGGGAACAATGCGATATTTATCAGGCAATCCTGTATGAAACAGGGAGCAAAGATAGCCGCACAAACGTCGCAATGTCAGCGAAGCATGCAATTCCTATTTTTTAGTCAGATGGTAACCTATTGGATCATCATCTCTTTATGTGACACCAAAGGCTATAACTAGTCACATTCTACTCCATGTCTGCTAGGCAGATGGGGTCTTCCGCAGCGATCTTCTATTAGAGTAATCTATCTCATGTTTTGACTGGGTGACCACCAGCGCGCGAGCCTTTTGCTTCTAATCGTCGGCGCTTATTGTTTTGGTTTCGGCTCTGCCGTTCTACCTTTACCCCTGCTTCATCCCCCTTTTTCGTGCACGGCTGACGTGTTCTTTCTTGGCACTCTATTTCCCCGCCCTTCTGTTTAGCTGACTATCTCTTGACTCGATCAAATAGACCATTATCTTTGACCCGCTCAGAATGGTCGAATATGACACGATGTCCCAATTTTGAATTGTAGGTTTGATGATGCATTTGTTTACAGGTGAAGTATCGTTATTATGCCATATCCAGGTGCACTGATTAGCTGCTGATGTTGTGGTATGTTTATAGGAAAGAGCGAGTAAGAACACTGTTAGTTCCAAGGGAGGGGAAGATCTCCGGGACATAGATGCTGATTTCTTCGGACTATCTCTTTGTGGTTTACATGAAGCGATGGACACCTGTCGAAGTGACGGATTAGCAGCTGTGTTATACAAATTGTGCAGTACAGAAGGAAACGAAGAGTATGCAAGTGACGTTCCCTTGCTTGTAGGCGAACGTACAAGCCTCATAAGAAACGGATATGGTATAAGCAACGACAAAAAGCAGAAATTCCTGCTAATGAAGGAACAGGACTCGAAACGTGGAGCTGAAGAGGCTCCGTTAGCTCTAAACAGGGTTGACCGTGTTGCAGCGCAAAGTTCGCCATTATCCCTTCCGAGCACCTTGGAGCAGAAGCTTCCAACATGGGCGCATCCTTGCGAATTTCTAGAAAGACGTGCTGAAGCTTCTGTATCCATTCAGCAGAATCTTTTTTTGAGGGTCTGTGATCTCCTTCGCAAACCTAAACATTATCGTCTGGAAGATCGCATTCGATTCCGGATATGTTGTGTTCTATTTTACCACCTTTTTGTATGGTGCCGAGATGAAGTCATCAACGCATACAACACTTCTTATAAGGCTATTTGCCCATTCGAACAAGCTGCCGCTGCTCTTTCCAGAGTAATTGATCATCGGAACATACTACCCTCTAGTGAAGTACTCTGCGAGGCAGAGATATGCCGATGGATCAAAAATGGTGAGCGATATCAACTGTTACTAGCAGATTTAGGGGGTCCAGGAAATTTATTCCTCCTTCCAAACGAAGGGGAGGGCGAGTACTTGTCTGTAAGCATTTCATCTCTAAATTAACATCTCTAATATGTTTGAACAGCTGGCTACAATGTGTCCCCAAAGAGCGAGGACGTCGGCGTACTTCTCTTATTCGCTCCCTACTGAATAGAGGCATCCATCAGCTTTCTTGGAGCATCAATGCTCATTGGATGACGTCCATGATTTTAAGCTGCCACTTGGAGTACATAGGGTTGAAAGCATATGGTGGTCTTACCAATGACTTTAGTAAGATGCCTGTACTGGGCTTATACTGGTTTCTGCCGTGCTTATCTCGCTATCTAGTTCAACCTCAGGAATGGAGGGGGCTTGCCTCAGAGTCAGCACTTCAAACACATAAACAAGTGCAGCTCTCTGAGACGGGGCGAGGTCCAAAACCATCCCGACACAGGTTAGAAAGCTGGCAAGAGGATCGCTCCAGAAAACGAAAGGAGATTGACACTGACGGTAAGTTTCGTACCATAATCTCATCATTGCAAATCTTTTCTTGAATATCCATAGCAGAATAAGGCAAGCTGATATGGGTGACCGGTAAGGTCAGACAGGGGACACATGGAATCAGGAGCGTTGCACGCAAACGTCGTCTACCTTGACCAGTGAAGGAAAAATCACAGCAGGATCCACATATATCCCTACACACGCGATTAACATAAATCCTTCCTATCATATTCGTGGCTGTGGCTCTTTTTCGACGGAAACCTATGATTCATTGTCGAATCTTCCTGACCAAGCAGCGGCACCGGAATTATATCACGCAGTAGAACCGGCACTGTTCGCAGACTTCCCTGATCTGACCGCAGAATCAGGACTACGGCCCTACACCTTAGATCCAGCAGCGTTTGCGGATT